TTAGGAGGTGATGGGAGCTGTGCAATAGCAGCCACCAGGCATTCCAGTGCTGAGGTAGGCTCTAATCCTCTGCTCCTGGCTCGCTCCTGACAGAGGAAGAAACAGCGGGGAGACGCGTGCACAAATCAGAATTTATGGTGCCATCAACACTGTCTTATAGCTGTTGCAGAGAGACACTGATCCTCATCCTTTGTAGTTTTTCTCAAGTCTCAATCCAGCGAATAATTGGTACGTAGTCAATATTTAAAAAAACAAGAAAATTGATTTTTTAAAAATCTATATCCGAGGGAAAATAAGATTTGAAAAATACAATTTTCAAGCGTAAAACCACTGCAGTTTAACCTTTTTTTTATTTTTTTTTGCTGCTTTGTTTTATCACTTCCAGGAATGCATGATCAGCATGTCACTTCCCCACAAATTTTTCTCTTTTTCTATCAGTGGCAGCATTTTCGGAAAAGTTGCAAGAAACCTGAGGTGAGCAGTGTCTTCTTGCAGCAGGAAACACAAAACCTTTTGGATGTGTGGTGCACAATCAGTTCAAAGACATCTACTTCTCTCTGAGTATGTAGGAAAATCAGCCATATTCTCCTTATTCTGCCCGTCTCTGATCTTACACAAAAAGACCTTTAAAAGAAAAAAAAAAAAAATCACACACCCGCGGACGAGGATATAAAAACCACACAGACGCATTTCAGCACAAGGCCCGCAAAGCTCGTGTGATGCTTTCAACGTCAACCGGGCCGGTCCCTGCCATCTTAGTGTCTCCACACCAGCTTACTGCAACAGCAGAATGACACAGTAACAGACACATATCAGCTTACTATAATAACACCTAGCCAGCACGCCGAGTAATCCGCCATTTTGCTTCACAGCACTGTAAATAAGTATTGTCATGCTACACTGGAAGGCGCAGAAATCTTCATCGTTTCGACTGTAACTGTTTGGCAGACGCGTAATTGAGCTCCAAGTCTTTTGCAGAGATCATGTGGGTGGCGTCGCGTGCCAGAGAGCAGACACAAAGCAACGGCGGCCGGAGATGTGTGCGCACTCACAACGGCAACATCCGAGTCTGTACTTTTTCTTTTTTTCTCTCCCCCCTCCCCTCTCTCTCTCCGTCTCTCTGTCTTACTACCAACTGTAACTCTCCTCTCGCACACAAATGAACAAGTCCTCCAGCAGCCTTAAGCCTGGAAACACCCGCTCGCTGATCTTTCTCCCCTTCTTTTCATCTCCTCCCATCCTCCCTCAAATCTCCCTCTGTCCTCTTTAGTCCCCTCTTTCCCTCCCTTCCTTCTCATCATCCTCTTCCTTCCAGCATCCTCCTCCTCCTCGCTCCTCACCTCTCTCTCTTTTTTCTCACACACTCTCTCTATGTCTCTCGCTCCCTTTGTAGGTATTTCCCTTGCTGATGTTGTCCATTGAGAGCCAGTGATTGTCTGTGGGTGAGAGCAGAGGAGAAAGAGTGGAGCCGATTACTGCAATGCAGAGCAACCAAACAACATCACAGCGCTGCAGCAGACGTGTTTGCATGTGCGCCCGTATGTACAGTTTGTGTACATATTTAAATGGACTTTGTTTACTCGAGCGTTTGTACGTGGAAAGTGCGACGCTGACACAACGATGTAAATGTTTATGTGTGTGTGTGTGTGTGTGTGTTTGCGACCGATGACCAGCTCAACCACAACTATTTGTCATGGCCAAACACCAAAGCTTCTGCAGCTATGCACCATGACTTTTAAATAGATCTCTTTTCACTGACATCAAACCGTGCCCAACTGTGCATTTTTAATACCCCGCATGTTTATGCAGAGAAGAATATGGTTTCATGCCTCCACGCGCACGCACACGCGCGCTCGCTCAGAAAGGATCCGCCTATCGCAGCTCAGGCTAAATCTATTATGCAAAATGACAGTGTTTTAATCAGGCTAATTGTCCAGCTCCTCACCATGTCTCTGCCATCTCTACTTAACCGATGCCACAGCCGCACTGTTTTTTCTTCCTCTTCTTTTTTTTTTTTTTTTTTAAAGGAATAAATGACACGGTGGTGGAGGAAGAGCGAGAGGCAATCTAAGCCACAGAGGCCCACAGGCGTTTGAAGTCTAAAGACTCTTTCATCCTCGACTCTGGGAAATGAATGATTTTTTTCACACAGTGACAGGACAGCTCTGACAGGACCCAAACACATGAACCATGGCAAAGCTGTCAGATAGTCAAACACACATACACACACACACACACACACACACACACACACACATACTGTGGGGAAACACAAGGGGCAAAACACATACAAATACACACACAGTTGGAACGGGTCCAGAGCTGAGAGCGTTGCAAAAATCACCACGTTCACGGGTGAGGAAGTGAGAAGGAAGCGTTAAAAGTGAGGAAAAAGAGAGTGAATAGGACCGAGAGAATGATGCTATAATTAGTCGTTTGTTGCCTTAACTGGCATTTAGTTTTAACTGGGCTTCTTTGTCTGTAGACACAATGGGGCTGATGTGGCATGAGTGAACTACACAGCTTAGAGGATTAAGGCTGGACTGAGGCTGTGCCGCTGCACTCGCTCTTTCCGTCACGCGCACACAAACAAGACGGTGCTCAGCTAGCTGCACAAACACACACTTTTTTTTTTTTTTTTTTTTTTTTGTTTTTTTTTTTTTCTTTTTTGG